TAGGGCTGAGGGGGAGACAGCCTGGCACTAGCTGCCTTGCCATGTGACCCAGACCAGTCTCCACCTGCCCTGGGCCTCAGTTTGCCATCTGAGAGAGGAGCTATCTGAGGGCCCTTCCTCTCAGCGGCTCCAGGTGCCCCTGTGACGTGTCTCTGACTGGGTGATGCGGGATGACCCCTCCACACAGGCCCTTCTGAGCAGGACCATGTCCCTGCCACTGTCCCCACACCCACCAGCCACCTGAAGGGGAACAGTGCTACCGAGCGCCTGCCTGCGCCTGGCTGGGGGCTCTAGGGCAGGAGGCCTTCCTGAGTACGGAAGTCCAGGCAGGGCTGGGAGAAGGCCACTCACATGTAGGATGCATCTGATCCGTGTCTGCTTCCTGCAGGGGGAGGCGGAATTAGGCCCACGCTCCTGGAGGTGGCCCCCACTGCAGCCCCAACCCCCGGAGCCCACCTACCTTTGCTGAAGTTCAGGTACCTTGGTGATGCAGAATCTGGAAGGAAGGCCAAGGGTTTCTTACCTTCACACCTTTGCACCTGCTCGTTCCCTCCCCCACTAGGCCAATCCCCTCAGGCCGCCCAGCCTGGCATATATGTCTCCTGCAAAGGCCTCCCTGTCAGGCCTGGCTGCCCTGCCTCCCCTCCCCCACACCTCCCCGGCACGTCTGCACAGTACCTGTCCCACCAGGTAGTCACCTGTCTCAGTCCCACCTCACCCCTGCCCCACACCTGTGTACGAGGCTCACTCACCCTCGAGGCTGGGGGAGAACTGCAGCAGCTTATCCTTCCTGCAAGGGAGGGGTGCAGTGAGGCAAGGACTGGGGGAGGGGCTGAGGAGGAGCCACGGGGGCTGGAGGTGGGAGGGGGATGGCTCTAGGGCAGCCGTTCACAACCTGTGGGTCGCGACCCCTTTGGCGGTCGAACGACCCTTTCACAGGGGTCGCCTAAGACCATCCTGCATATCAGATATTTACATTACGATTCATAACAGTAGCAACATTACAGTTATGAAGTAGCAACGAAAATAATTTTATGGTTGGATCACAGCATGAGGAACTGTATTTAAAGGGCCAGAAGGTTGAGAACCACTGCTCTAGGGTTTTGGGGGATTTGAAGGCCACAGCCCTCCAGCCTCCTGGATGGAGGGGGGCCCTTCTCTATCAGGCACTGGAACTCTGAGGTCTGAGGAGGAAGTAAGGTCTTGGCCTGGGCTCAGCCAGGTGGGGACCCCAGGATCCTCCTCATCACTTCCTGTGGGGGCTGTGACCCCTCTGGGTCCAGGCCAAGGGTCTCATTCCTACCTTGTTGGTGCCAGGTCAGAGGCTGTGTCCATCAGGGGCCTGGCCACTGCAAAGGACGAGGGGGTGTTAGCTGGACCCCAAGGCCAGCTTGCCAGTGTAGGTCCCTCACCCCTTCACCCTACCAGATCGGGCATGGCCACCCCTTCAGGATGAAGGGACTTTGATATGTCCCCCCTCCCCCAACCCTGATTCCAGCCCCTGGACCCTTCTGTTTGGGACTCACAGGAATAGGTCCCGGTCACTGCAAAGTTCTGTTGATTCTCTTGCCTGGAAACACATGGGACTGTTTTGAGCTAGGGCCTGGCCTCCCACAGCCCAAGGGACAGAGAGACAGGAGAGATGGACAGCGGGGGACAAGGAACAGAGAGGAGGCACATAGTAGGGCAAGAGTGAGGAGAAGGAGCTGCCTGCCACCCCTCCAGGTCTCAGAGCCAGAGCCCTGCCCACTGGGTGCCCACCCTTTTCACATGGCCCTGGCCTAGAGTCAGCTGCCAGAAAGACCCATTTCTCAACATGGGGTACCCAGGAACCCCCAGAGATGGCCAGGAGGGTCTGTGGGCAGGCATCTAGTCATTGTCCAGTGTCCCTTCTTCCTCTGAAGCACAACCCTGACTTTTGTGTAGCCAGCGGCAGGCCCACCAGAAGACTGTATATCACGGCCTCCCTTGCACCTACTTGTGGCCACGTGATAAAGCTCTGGTCAGTGAAATGCAAGCCAAGGTTGTTGGGAGTTCCAGGAAAGCTCCTTAAAGGACTCACTGACAACTGGGCACAGCCTTTTTGTCCTCCTCCTTCATTCTTACTACGACCTGGAATGCAGAGATAAGGGCTGGAGCCCTCGCTGCCATTTTGGACCATGAAGTGCCTTTGAGAATGGAAGCCACCAGGGAAGGATGGTGAACAGATCAGCTAATCATTAAAGCATTTTGGCATCTCCCCTGGATTAATATGGGTGCCTGGCCCAGCCTTCTAGGAGCTCCTGGGGTGCTGGGGGCCGGGGTGACGTGATTTAGGGAGGATGCTCTGTCTAAATCCACAGGAGAGAACCAGGCATGGCTTCCCGGAGGAAGTGATGCAGGAGCTGGGCCTGGCACACATAGGCTGGCAGGACTGACCCCCAGTGAGGTGGGGAAACCCAAGCTCTCCTCCCACCTCCTCCCACCATTTCCCCACCCCGACATGAGGAGGTTTAGTCTACAGTCTAAGATCAGTTAGGGGCCTTGAGTGGGCAGGGGCTGCGGGGTGGGGGGAGCGGAGAGGGGAGATTCTGAGGAGGCCTGCCTGGGGGCAGGAGCGTAGGGGCACCAGGGAGCCCAGCCCGCTCCTGGTGGAGGCTGTGGGCTAGCGATCTAGACAGCTAAGTGGCCAAAGATGCCTGGTCCTGCCCCCGGGGTGGGCCTGGCTGGATGGGGAAATTCTATTTTCAAATCTCATTGTGGTTTTTCAGTTGCAAAAGGAAATGAGAAAAGGCGTGTGTGCCCATCTGTGCGTGAGTAGCTACCCGAGTGTGCATACAGTGCCGCATGTGTGAGAAGTGCACGCCTGAGCAAGTGTGCAGGGAGCGTGTGGGTGTGCGTGGGCGTTCACACGCAGGCCCTCCATCAAGTCACCCGCCTGCTCAACGTCAGGATGCCCATGGCCGCTGCCCCCTGCCTGGGGCTGTCCGAGGGTGGCCCCCTGGTTTGCAAGGTCTGGCACAGCTGACCCTCCCAGCACTCACAGCGCGGCCCACCTGCCCTCAAAGTGCCTGGAGCTCCATCTCCCAGCCCCACCACTCCGCTGGGCTCACTGACCCCATTGCATCCCTGCCCCACCTCCCTCCTTCCTGCTGCACAGGAGCCCCTGCTTCCAGCTCTTCTGCGGCCCCCTTGGTCCTTAGAACGAAGGCCAAGGCCTTTCCCACAGTCAAGGCCTCATCCAGCTCATCTCCCCCGAGACACACGGTACCTGCCACCTCATCCCTGCAAGGCAGTGTCCACCCGGTCCTATGTCAGCGACAGCCCACACTGTTCTCTCTCCCTCTAGAATATCCCCTTTGGTCTCTTTTTCTCTTAAAATCTTTCCCACCTCCTCTATCAGGCCTTCCTTAACCCCCCCAGGCACATGCCCACATCCTCCCTGGCTCCTTTAGCATTTTCCCAGGAAGACTCAGACACAGCTCACATTTTGCTCTGTGCCCAGTGTCTGCCCCACAGCCCCAGCCCCTCTTGGCACCAAGAGGCCGAATTCCTCTGTGGACACCCACCCCCACCCGCACAGCAGGCCGCCCCGGGCTGGGTTCACAGGGAGGATCTCTGCAGATGCTCTTGGGCCAGCGGGAACGTGGCAGCCCCTCCTCCTGAGGCCCTTGCTGACTGGGCTGGGGCAGGGCCTGGGCAGCCCTGGGTGCCCCCTCTCCTTCCCTGGCTGCTCGGGACCCGCCGGAGCCCAGCCTGGAGGAGGTGTGAGGAAAGGGGTGAGGCACAGCATGCCGGATGCCTGAGGGGAGGCCCACACCCCAGGCGCACAGTCACTGGGCCGGGGACACAGAGGCACTCACAGGTTCCTCTGCTCATAAATTTTCTCCGGTCGCTTCGCACCTGCAAAAACGGGACCAGATTAGCAAGCGTCCAGAGCCAGGGTGGAACTGACACCCAAGGCCCCCCATCCTGCCTGCCTGTGCCCTGTCCTAGGACAGGACACGGGGGCCTGCCGATCACTGAGGGCCACCGGACATGGACGTGGTGTCTCTCACTACTTACTTAGGAAAGCGGAGCGTAGAGAAGTGGACACCCCAGGCAGGCAGCCAGCCCAGCCTTTCCTCCCTTGTCCAGAGCAACCCCCTGCCCCAGACATACCCCTTGACCCAGCAAAACCAAAGCCCCCCAGTGAACCAGACTGATGGTGTTCAGGTGCAGTTGGGGGCCAGTCCTTGGGGAAGTCACCCCCATCCTGTGAGGCTTATCTGCCCCTCCCAAACACAGCCGGGTCTGGCCTGTGAGAGTTGCTGGGTATACTGTCCTCTCCTCCATTGTGCTCATGAGCTCCCCTTCCCAGCCCCTCCCCGTCATACTCCAACCCCTCCCCGTCATAATCCCGCCTTTACCTGAGCCTGAGCGGGAGCAGCGTACACACAGGCTGGCCACCGCCCCCAGCAGCAGCAGGAAGGCCACCCCGGGCCACAGCAGCTCCGCCTCTGCACTCATGTCGGCTCCGGTGCACTTTTCCTGCAACACTACCACGTGAACCAGGGTGGGAGGGCTAGGGGGCTACCCCTCAGGAACCCGCCCAGCCCCACACCCTCAGGCTTCTCACCCCCACTGGCCCCTGACAGCCTCACAGCTGAGTCTAGGCTGTGGAGCACCCTTCCCACCCTGCTGGAGGGCCAGGGCAGGACCAGACCGATTCCTCCGTCTGACCCCAGACCTGTACTCGTGACCCCCCCAGGCCAGCATCAACACGTGGTAAGTGCTGGAAGGTTCTGGGGACCCACCAGGCAGCACCATGTGCGTGTCCACACTCCTGCATACACCCTCGCTTAATCCACACAATTGCCCTTCGAGGAAGGGGGGCTTGCTCCATTTCACAGATAAAGAAATGGAGGCCAGACATCTCCCAATTGCTAAGTAGAAAGACAAGATTCAAGTTCCAGCATCCAGACCCTAACTCTGGCTTTGCCCACTGCATCCCCTCCCTCCTATAAGTCCAGCTTTACTCCCCAAGCGTAAAGTCTGTGGACCCTTCTGCATGGGACCTCCCAGCAGCCCTCACCCAACCGTGGGCACTTCTCCACCCCATCCATGGCCTCCCGGAGGAGCTGGGGGCAGGATTTCCATTCATTAAAAATCCGTGCACCCAGATTCTTCCTGCCCTGGGAGCTGGGAGGAGGGAGATCAGGGAAGGCTTCTTGGAGGAGGTGGGCTGACGAGCTTGGGAGAAGCGAGCTCAGAGGGACCTGGTGTATGGCCCATGGTGGCTAATGGTGGGATGTGGGGCTGGAGGAGAGAGGCTACAGGGCAAGGAGGCCCTGAATCCCTGCCTGCTGGCTGCTGTCTTAGTGGCTGGTCCCAGCCACAGCCTCAGGGCCACACTCTGATTGTCTGGTCTTGGTGATCAAATCTGCACACCAGGGTCTGGTGAAGGCAAGTTCAACCCCCTTGAGGGGGTTTCCAAGGAGAATCATTGAAACTATCAAGAGACTCAGCCACCTCGAAAAAGCCGGGACACAGCTGAGGGCAGCAGGGGCTGTCTGAGGGGCCGGTGCCCCAGGTGCACGGAGCCTCCGCACTGAGCACCCACTCTGTGCACACCTGTGCCTCCTGCATCTGGCACCTGGGAGGAGGGCTTCCCCCTCTTTACAGCTGGGGAGGGTGAGGCTTCGGGAGAAGATGGGCCCACCTCCTGCTTCGGGCTCCCGGGAGGCCTGTGCGCCCCCGGCTGTCCCCTCACTTCTTGGAGCTCCCGAATCTGGGGCAAAGCCAACAAGACAGCTCCGCGCAGTGCGGAGCCTCATCAGGGGCCCGTCCCAGAGAAGCCACCTCTCCTTCCCCAGAACGTGGTTTTGAGTGAGTCAGTGGGAACACGGGGATTCCCAAATCTCGCCACAGAGCAGCCTCCAGGTGGGGAGAAGGACTGGCCCCTGTCACACCCGATGCTGTTTGAGGGGATCCGCTCCCCTCCTCTCAGGGGCTGGGCACTGCCCTCCTGGTCTGCACAGCTTGCCCTGCCTCCTGAGTCCCCTCGGGCTGTTGGAAGTTGGGAACACCTGCCTTAGAGGGAGGACGCCTGGGGTCAACTCCTGTCTGTGCCTCAGTTTTCTCATCTGTAAAATGGGGGTCAATCCCATCCAGCCAGGGAAACGCACGGAGGGTCTTATTTCTGGCCGGCTAGTTTGGACAGCTCTCTCAGGCTCCGGATCCTCGATAACGTTGTCCTTTGGTTAGCACGGTGTCTCTTTCTGTCCCGAAAGGAGACTTGGGCACAGACACATGGCTGGGTCCCACACATGCCCCCTGCGAGAGCTGGGACCTGAGTCCACCACCGGCCACCCCCAGGGGCTGTTTAAGACTCCAGACTTGAGCCAGCACTTGGAGCCCTGGGACATGACCTGCTGACCTCTGGGGAAGGGTGGCCTCCACCCCAGAGGACCCTGACTATCGGAGAGCCCTTTTGCTTCCGGAGGTGAAGCACCCTCAGGGGTGGCCCTGGTCCATCTCCGCCCCCTGGCACTGGGGGAGGCTGGGGAGGAGAATGCGGATTCTGCCAGGAACAAAAATTGAATCCCAGTCACGGGCCTTTGGTTGCCCCTTTGTTAAGTGGGGGAAGAATGGCACTCTTCCTGGGTTTGTCACATGAGACCTGGCATCGAGATGAGGCATGGAAGGTGCTGGGGCAGGTGGGGCACAGCTGGCCGTGACTGTCATGACTGGCCATCATCCAGCTCCCGGGGCAGGGGCAGTGGCCGCCTGGTGGGGCCAGAGCTGCCTTTGGGTCTGGGAGCAGGTCTCTCCAGAGCCTTCTCTGCCTGCTCCCCACACAGGCAGGCCCGAGCCTCCCTCCCCTGCCTCACGTGGGCCTTGTGCTGGGACCTGAGAGGGGCTGGGAGGGGAAGAGAGCACGGCTCTGGCCCCAGCCCCTCAGCTAGCTGGCGCAGACACCCACAGCATCATGCGGAGACACCAGGCCCAGAGGGGAGCACTCTGTCCAGGCTCACACAGCTGGCCGGTCACGGCAGCAGGACCAAAGCCCGGGGCACGCTGCCTGTGAAGGCCACGCTCCTTTGCCTTTTTCTTATATATTTTTAAGAATCATGAAATATATTTTTAAAATAGACTAATTTGAGTAAAACTCCTATGCCCTCTCTCGTCACTTCCCACCCATGTTCCGAGAGCAGATGGGGCGGGGAGGGTGGAGGGAGAGAGGCTGGGCCCCCGGAGAGGCTCCAAGAAGTCGCGCAGGGCTGGGTGGGGTAGGAGGGCGGCTGTTACAGGCCGTGGCTCTGCAGGCCAAAATAGCACAAAGGGAAGTGGGCAGTTTTCATATGAACAAGGTTTGCGACAAGCTGTGTGGGAAAGCCCTCAGTGCTGCGCGGTGTGGGCCTCGGTGTCTGAGCCTCCCGCCAGAGAGGCCCTGGGAGATGATCCTGCCCATTCCCCGGCACCTGTCATACTGTCGATGGGGGGACTGAGGCCCACCAGGGCTGCAGGGCAGGCTGGGGGTGGAGAGAGAGGCCCTGGTCTCAGCCCCCAAAAGGCTTTAGCCACTGGGCTCTGCTCTGGGGTCTGTTTCGTTTTCCCCAATAACCTTGGCCTTCAGATGAGGCCGTCCCAGGGGCTTCTAACAGAGGCTCTCAGTGCTCGGGTGACTGGTGCAGGGCCTGGGCAGCCCTTGTCCCAGGGCAGGAATGGAGGGTGGCGAAGGCCAGGGCCACCTGTTGACAGAGTTGGGCACAGGGAGCTCTCCAGGGCTTACGTCTCAGACCCCAGCAGGGAGCTGGCCGGCCGGGCTGGGGACTGGGGGGGCGGCAGGGACAGATGCCTCCGTCCGGCCTGGGGCAGGACCTAGGCACGCTTGCCGTAGAGTCTCACCATTCTCCCGTGCGTAGCCCCGTGTCTGAGATATCACAGTTCCATTTTACAGATGAAGAAACCTAAGCTCATGGGCATGGACCGGGGGCCACTGTCCTGGCCCCTCACAGTCTCTGGAAGTGAGGGGCCCACCCTGGAGGTCTCCTAGGACTGCAGACCGGGCTGGGGAAGGTGAGGGCAGGGAAGTGGCTGAAGGCCCAGAACCAGGCTGCCTCTCTGAGTGCCGCAGGGTCCCGGGGGAGGGCTCCCTAGTCAGGGCCACCAGGGCAGGAGTGGGGCCAAAGGAAGGGGTGTCAGGCGTCCCGACATCTTCCCACTTCACCCAGCAGGCCGCCAAGTGCTCAGGAGCGGCCACTCCAACCCCCACGGGTGTCAGAGGTCGGGGGCAGCCTCAGGACCCCTGCCCTCAGGGCCAGGCTCCAGGTGCTCCGGGAAAGGCTTACCTGGGAGTTGGGGGCTCTTCACTGCGGCCACCTCATCTTGAGCCCACACACCTGCAGGAGCTGACGCCAACACCACAGATACTTGTGGGCAGCAAGCAAGGCGGCAGGCTTCCTGTCAGCCACTGAATCATCCCTCACACATCCGCTGCCCTGCCGGACAGGCTCTGGTGTGAACAGAGAGACACATGCACGAGAGAGAGAGAGAGAGAGAGAGAGAGAGAGAGAGAGAGCGGGAGAGAGAGAGAAAAGAAAGCTATGGACACACACGCTAAGCACACACGTGTAAACACAAGTCACACAGAGAGTAAGATACGCAGAGGGACAGGGAGGAAGAATGAAATGGAAGTGCACACACGGACACACACACGGGCAGCGACAGTAGGAAGACGTGGAGAAGCACACGCTAAAGAACACAAATGCACACTAACACCAAAAACGCGCGCACACAAACTCAGAGACAGAATCGGGGAGAGAGAGAGACAGAGAAGAAGATCAACAGGGAGGAAGAGAATGAGGAAGAGAGGCACACGCACTGCATACAGAGACACAGAGGGGGACAGAGAGAGACAGGCGGGGACTGAGTGCGCAATCAACCAAGTCTCAGACCCAGAGGGAGAGGGAGACACAGGAAGACGGAGCGCCAGAGAGAGACCGATTGTCAGAGATGCAGAGCAAGAGCCAGAGCCAGATACTCAGGGAGCAAGAGTCCAAAAAAGAGGTGTGCAGTACACACACACACACACACACACACACTCACACACTCAGACACACACACTCAGACACACACACACTCAGACACACACACACACACACACACACTCAGACACACACTCACACACACACTCAGACACACACACACTCAGACACACACACTCACACTCAGACACACACACACTCAGACACACACACACACACACACTCAGACACACACTCACACACACACTCAGACACACACACACACTCAGACACACACACTCACACACTCAGACACACACACACTCAGACAAACACACACACTCAGACACACACACAGACACACACACACTCAGACACACACTCAGACACACACACTCAGACAAACACACACACTCAGACACACACACTCACACACACTCAGACACACACACACTCACACACACTCAGACACACACTTACACACACACACACTCAGACACACACACTCACACACACACTCAGACACACACACACAACATGAGACATGGGTGGAAAGAGAAGACAGAACAAACGGCTGGAGACAAGGCAGCTGACAGAGGAACGGACAGCCACAGGCATTAGAGGGAGCGGGAGAGGCAGCCACGCGGAAGGACAGGAGGACAATCCTGGCTTCTCCTGTCCTGGGAGCCACATCTCATCACCCCGGTTTTGCAGAGGAGGCAGGGAGAGAGCAGAGCAGGGTGAGAGCACTGGCAGTGTGACCACAGCCCCACGGGGACCAGCCCTTCGCTCCGCTGTGGAAGGGGTGAGGGGAGGTCTGGAAGGCACCGGCTCACTGGGAGAGATTGGCTCCAGTGTTCATGGTGCAGGTCATTAGTAACTTGCCCAAAGCCATGGAACGATTAGTGGCACCCCAACTGCCAGAGGTCACAGGGAAGCCCCCGAGGGTCCCCAGCACCCCATCAGTCTGGCACTTCAGAGCCTGGTGTCCCCAGCTCTAGGCCGGGACTGGGTGTCTCTTGTGGCCCTAGCAGGGGTGGCCAAGACCTCCTGCAGTCCAGGTCCAGCCAAGGCTGGCAAGGGGCCAAGTGCAGACAAGGCTCAGCCAGAACCGAAACAGAAACTGAGGGCTGGGCCCGCTGCTGCCACCCCGTGGGAGAAAAGGGGGGTGCACAGACTAGAGCTCATTTTGGGAGACACCCCGAGCCCTCACTGCCAGGAGCTTGTCCCCATCCCTGTACGTCAGTGGTTCTCAACCTTCCTAATGCCGCGACCCTTTAATACAGTTCCTCATGTTGTGGTGACCCCCAACCATAAAATTATTTTCGTTGCTACTTCATAACTGGAATTTTGCTACTGTTATGAATCATAATGTAAATATCTGATATACAGGATTTATTTTCAGTGTTACAAATTGAACATAATTAAAGCATAGTGATTAATCACAAAAACAATATGTAATTAGATATGTGTTTTCCGATGGTCTTAGGGGACCCCTGTGAAAGGGTCGTTCGACCCCCAAAGGGGTCGCGACCCACAGGTTGAGAACTGCTCATGTACGTGATGGGACTAGGACTGAAACTAACCTCATCTGACTCCCAAACCTGTGCCAGTGCAATCACTACCACCACATGCCCTTATTTCATGAGGGTGTTGGCTACATTTTAAAAATATATATTTTTTATTGATTTCAGAGAGGAAGGGAGAGGGAGAGAAATAGAAAGATCAGTGATGAGAGAGAATCGTTGATCGACTGCCTCCTCCACACCCCCGACTGGGGACCGAGCCCGCAACCGGGACATGTGCCCTGACCAGGAATCGAACTGTGACCTCCTGGTTCATAGGTCGATGCTCAACCACTGGGCGATGCCAGCTGGGCTACATTTAATCTCCATGGTCACTTTTGCTGGCTGAATGTTTCTTACACAGGTGAGAACACGTTGCCTCAGAGACTAACTGGATTTGAATCCAGATCCCTAAAGTGTCCAGAGCCCGTTATCTTTCCACCACTGAGCGCAGGGACATCAGTGGGTAAAAGCCAGCAGCTCTCCTCCCTGGCCCCTCCTCACACAAGTGGGTAAACCTGATAGGCTTCCATCTATCCCTGGACCACGTGCCTCCCTGGGGTTTCCTGCCTGCAGAGATGGTCAGAAGCTCCAACACATCCAATGGGAACAGAGTTCTGTTTTACATTCCCGACTTCTGTCTCGGCTTGGGCCTTAGTAATGGCAGGTCCTGGGGAAGTAACCTCTGACCACTGGCAAAATCTCCAGGTCCAACCAATGTGACCAGGAGCTCTATTGGACCCTCTCTGAGCCCATCTTCCAGCATAAAAACGGGCCTGTCAACCCAAAGACCCTTTTTGGACCTGAGTGGGAGGATCTTGCCCCCTTTCTAGGCGCTTGTCAAGTTTCTCCAAGTTCTATTATATTTATAAACCATTCACTTGTGAATTAGAAAATACGCTTTAAAAAACTAGACAATTCATGTTCAGTTGTACAAATTCTAGTGCACTGCTGGGGTCCAATCCCAGCAGGTCCAGGGGTCCCCAAAGGTGTGGACGGAGTCGGCGAAGAAGGAATGACACGAAGACAGCATTCAGTTGGTCAGCAGCCTAGTCAGGACCTATAGCCAGGATCTCCAGCCAAAGTTCTGGTCGGAGTTCTGGTCAGGAACTGATGAGGATCTGACGTTTATTGTCTTATTACATCCGTATTTATACCAGCCGATTTTAATCCTGTAAGGTGTTTCTCATCTCCATTCCAGGGAGTAAAGACCATGTAGCTTAATTACCCGCCTGGCACTTAATTAAGGGGTTGTATCCCCTCCCCAACCTCAGGGAAAGATCCCCACCTGGGGAAACAACCTTTCTCGGAGAGGTGACCTTGGTTAAAACACATGGCGCTAAAGGGAGCAAACATATTAAAAACAGTATGCTACATACGCCAGGTCCACTGAAACACATGCTGTGCAGATGCCTCTTTCCTGCAGCGACTGCGTCAAGCAGCAAGGATGGACCGGCCTCCGGCAGTGCACTTTGTTTTGTTTTTTACAGTTCGATGGGCTTTGGTATATTGCATTATCTATAATAATAAAAGCATAATATGCTAATTAGACCAGACATCCTTCCGGACATCCTTCCAGACGACCTTCTGGACAAAGCTGGGGCTGCAAGGGAAGCCCGGGTCCTGGGTGCCTGCTGGCGACCAGAGAGAAGCCCAGGTCCCAGGTGCCAGAGGGAAGCCAGTGCCAGCAGCCAGGGGAAGGAAGGCTTACTCTTGCATGAATTTTGTGCATCGGGCCTCTAGTATATAACATAAAATTTACCATTTTAACTGTGCGAGTCAGTGGCATTAATTATACTCAAAATATTGTACAACCATAACTATTTCCAAAACTTTTTCATCACTCCAAACAGGGCTACTTAGCTTTCCAGTTCACAGCTGACTCAGTTGCGTGCACACTTGTTATAGAAGCAAAATGCCTAGGTGGTAACGCAACAGCTCTAAGGACTCTAAACAGTCTAAGGATGAGAATATCCTGGGTTCACACATATCCTCAAAGTTAAGGGGAAGCTATGGATTTTCGTCAGAAAAAATGTATCTTAAGAAGTACATACAACGTTCTAGAAGGCCCTGGAGCCCACCATGAAGTTGTCTTGCCACCCCCAACTCCCAAGGTACAAATGAGCATTACTCCCACCCCCGATCCTGTCATTTATGACATTTCTCTCTGATAATTAACTCACTACCCAACGGGACCTAGAACATTCCATTCTGCCGCCTCACCCTACCTAAATACCTTTTATACAAACTGGTTTTGTCATGTTATTTCAAAAGTTCATCTTACATGTAAGTGTCATTCTGTCTGTAAGCATTTGGGACAAACTTTCTGTTACCATGACCTTGGCTCATCCATGTTGCTGTGAGTGGCTACCATTCATTCCTTTAAGGAGACTTCTGTACAACATTCCATTATCTAAATAGAGGTTTTGGATCTATACCTGGAGGGGAACCACTGGGTATGGAGTATGGGAACATTGAATGTTCAAGTTCATTCCCAAAGCAGCTCCACGTTTATACTCATCTGAAAGGGAGAAGAGACCCACAAACTCTCCAGCGACTGGTTTATCAGGCTTCCTGACTTGCCATTTAAATGGGTGTAAAATAGTATTTTATTTCTTTAGTCTCGATTTACAATTCCTTGATTGCAAATGAGTTGAACATCATTTTGGGGCCATTATTTCCTCTTCTGTGAAATAAATGATCATATCTTGCTTAGTTTCCTATTGGGTTGCCTTTTACCAATTTGCTGGAATTCTTCATGTCCTTCATCATTTTAGTTACATACCTTTTCCTTTTTTGTTTTGATAAAGTACTTTAAAAAAATCTAATGAGTATATTCTTTTTAAAAAATATTTTTATTGATTTTGGAGAGGGAAAGAAACATTGATGAGAATCATTGATCAGCTGCCTCCTCCATGTCCCCTACTGAGAATCGAGCCTGCCACCTGGGCATGTGCCCTTGAACAGAATTGAACCCGGGACCCTCCAGTCTGCAGGCCCATGCTCTATCCACTGAGCAAAACTGGCTAGGACCTAATGAGTACATTTTTAATTTCAAGAGTATAATGTATGTGAAAAAGAATTCTACCAATTCCAAGGAATCTTGGTGCTATTTACAGAAACTCTGGGCTATTTAAAAAGCTGCTCTGGCCCAGCCAGCATGGCTGTGGTTGAGCATGAACCTATGAATCAGGAGGTTGCAGTTCAATTCCGGGTCAGAGCACATGCCCAGTTGTGGGCTCCATCCCCAATGGGGGTCATGCAGGAGGTAGCCAGTCAATGATTCTCTCATCATTGATATTCCTATTTCTCTTTCCCCCTCCTTTCTTTTCTGAAATCAATAATAATATATTTTAAAAATTGAGCCGAAACCGGTTTGGCTCAGTGGATAGAGCGTCGGCCTGCGGACTGAAAGGTCCCAGGTT